GATTGATTCGGTGACTGGGGTAATCGGGATGGGTGTGTCAGAGGCGGTTCGGTTGGCGCAGGATAGAGCAGGGTTTAGGGCTGTTGTGATAGGGTCGCTATGAGTCGGAAACGACTCGATGGCACATAATAATAACAACACAACAGAACTGGTATGTGTCAGATAAATTAGACTTGACCCTTGATCTAAGGGGTTAATAGCTGAGTTGGGAGGTGTCAGTCTAGGGCATTTTGTACCGCACTGCACAATCACTACCCTGCCTTCTCAGATTTCCTGCACCTTCCTCCTCTGTAAGCCATCCACTCCCCACCCTCACTCTCCATCACCACCCCAGAGCTTCAAACAGTACTATCCAACAGGTGCATCAGGCATGTACAATATATGAACTACATTCTTCAGATACACATCCTCTCCATTCTTCTAACCCTAATCCAGGCCTTCAGGAAGGGGAATTTTGAAAAGCCCAACAGTTGGTTTGGGTCAGCACCAGAGAACAGGACAGAGTCAAAGGCCAGCTCCCTCCCTTACGCTGTCATTTCGGCTTCTTTGATCAGTGCTGCCCTGCACTTGGTACTAGGGGTAGTCAGGAATCAGTTTGGGCCTCTGATGTGCAAGATCACAGTCCAGCAAGGGAGATAAGAGCAGAGTTCAGCTCTAAGACATTCTGAAGGGGACCTGCTATAACTCCAATAAAGTCTTTAACCATTTACATGGAACCCTCTGCCCCAGAATATTGTGCATGCTAATCACCTGGAAATTTTGCTGAAATGTAGAATTTCATGATTCAGTAGATCTTGGATTGACTTTAGAATCTGAATGTCTAATAAGCTCTCAGGTCATGTCATAGGTTCATGGATCACACTTCTAGTGTAAGGTTCTAGAATATCTGGCATTTAACTCATTTCTCTGAGGAGTGATGATTCAAGTAATGTCTCTTCCCCATTGGTCCCCATTATCAACTCTATAAAGCAAGTATCTTTTCCTTTATGACTGAAGTACCCCCAGTGCCTAGCACACTGATTTGCACACACGGTGTGTACTTGTTGAAGGAGTGAATAAGTGGTAAATATTCCCTTATCCATCAGAACTGGGGCTAATGTCAAACATCAGGCATGCATGCATTTGGGCACACAAACACACACACACACACACACACACACACACACACACAACCATCTCTACCAGGTTCAGGGCTGCACCTGCTGGCATTTTATGAGGCCTATTATGTGCAAGGTGTTGGTTAAATGGGCTGCCTCTACACCTCCCACCATGTACTCCCAGAGTACATGAGTAAAGGTGCTGAGTCCTGATCTTATCTGATATAGCAGCTGAGAATTGGGGGATTTTCTATTGGAGCTTCCCAGCACCCCTGTTATAGATACACAGGAGTCTTCTGTCTCTTGCATATGCACAGGTGTCCTGTGGCACCCGATCCCACTGTAGTATCATTCCCAACAGAATGATTGTTCCCAAAGAACAAGCTCTCTCACCTACAACACAGAAAGGGTGACTATAGAGCATGTGCCTTACACCTGCCATATGCAGAGTAAGCCTGTTGGCCCTGGGCGACCAGTGCTCACTAGAGAAACTGTTATCACATTCTCTTTTTTCTGTATAAGCGAAGCATTCCATGCACTAATAGAAAATGTGTACTCTGTGCCTTTCGTTGGCAACCTTGAATCCTACCCATGGCCTCTGGGTGATGCAAATGGTTAAGCAACTATTAACTGAAATGTAGGTGGTTCAAACCATCCAGCGTGATTTGGAAGAAAGGCCTGGCAACCTACTTCTGAAAAGTTTCAGCCTTGAAAAGTCTATGGAGTACGGTTCAACTCAGAAACACATGGAGCCTGTGTGACATGGAAGTTACTTGATGACAAAAGGCTTTTGGTTTTTAAATATATGCACGGCTATGCTTTGTGCATCTTTTTTTCTTCTCCCCCCTTTTATTAAATTAATTTTAATTAAAGTTTACAGAGACTTAGGGTTTCCAGTCATTCATTGTTGTATGCTTTGCACATTTTAATAGACCTATTATGATCCAAGCCCACTGCTGTTAAGTCAGTTCTGACTCATAATGACTCTCCATCAGGTTTCCAGGACTTAAAAAAAAATCATTACAGAGGAGACTCCATCTTCTGTAGAGCAACTGGTGGATTTCACCACTTGACTTTTTAGTTAGCAGCCTAACAAAACACTATGCCCCCAGGGTTCTGGAAGCCTATAAGCTTGTAAACCTGTGTTTCCTAATTCTACTTCTTTAGGAACCTGATGACTCCCACCAAGCTGAATCCCTTGTGGCAACCCAAACTCCTGAACAAGGATCATCCATTTCCCCAAATCACCAGCCAGCACACAGCCCAAAGGGAGAGTTTTGTCTTCTTCCTTTTTAAACATCTTTTTTATTAAATCAAATTTAACTTAAAAAAATAAAATTAGTCCTACGTTTTCAAGGTGGTGGGGCAGACTAGCCTGGTATCTCCCTGAAAGGTCACAGAAGTCTTGAAAACTGTCCTCTAAGGCCCCAGGAACTGGGCAGCTAGGTGTAGCTGTGTGGAAGCGGCATTCTTGCTCCGTGTGAACTTGAGGGCAGACAGGCTTGCGCGATGGGCGGGAGGACAAACTTGAGGGGAAATGAAGGAAAGATCATGAGGAAACGATGAACCAGGGAATCTGACACAACTATGCTTATTTAACGCTATTTTCGCCCCTCCTTCAGCCTCACCCTTCTGCATCAGTCCTTCCCAGCCCTAGTCCCATTCTTTCTACACTCCATCATCTTCCCACCTCTAACCCCCAGTCCTAGGCTCAGTTAGTTATTCAGGGCAAGGGGTTGAGGTGGGAATGGAGGACAAAATTATATGAAAAGAATGGAATGATAGGTTGGGGAGAAGAGAGTGGAGGCAGAAAGTCCTATAAATGCTAATGTGTTATGAAAATGTGAGGGTGATAACTGTTAGGAAGAGTTTAATGAAGTAAGGCGTCAGTGGAGGATTCAGCTTGAGATCGCGCCGTCTGGCTTCTGAAGGCTTTGAACTCACCAGGAATCCTAGGAGGGGGTCCAGCTTAGAAACCTACATCCCTTAGGCAGTGGGGCGGGGGTGTAGGGGGTGGGGTGTGTATACACAGAGTGGTGCTCTTAGGGGAAAGAAAAGAACTGAAGATTTACAAAATGGGATGAGTGCTTCACTCCATAGGAGAGATGGGCTCCCGAGGGCAGGGAAGGATTTAACAGGTGTGTTTCGTCCAACTGGCGGAGATGCGGAGCGCCCAGGAGTGCTCCAAGCCAAGGAGGCAGAGATGGGGGCGCTCCGGACCGTGCTCCAGTCCGGGTGCGGAGAAGAACGTGCAGACGCGCACCAGCCCTGCGGAAGGGGGCTCACAGGTAGCGCTCCAGCCCCGGCGCGAAGCCCGGCTGCCGCAGGTAGGCTCCTCCAGGGCTGAGCGGGCCGAGCGCCGCCGCCGGCCCTGCCAGCGCCAACAGGGGCTCCGCGGGGAGCGGGCTGGGCCCAGGCCGAGGGGGCGGCATTCCCAGGCGGCCGGGGGCCTGAGTGTAGAGCGGCGGGCTGGCTGCGGCGTAGACGGCGGCTGGCGGCGGGGAGGCGGCGGCCG